ACTCGTAGTGATCCTCCTGTTTTCAGCCTCCCAAGCGCTGGGATTACAGGCACGGGCCACCACACGCAGTGTCAGTGACCTCTCAATGTGCTCCAAGGGCGGGGCCGGCACAGCATGCCGGGGATTGAACCCCGGCCACTGCACTCTGCCTAAGCAGGCGCTTTAGTCCACTGAGCTATCTGGCCAGCCTTCAGTCCATATTTGGTTGGCTCCTGGGCAGAGTAGCACAAGGCAGAAGGCAGCAGTTCATGGCAGTGAATCAAACACCTCCGAGGAAGTGGCCTACGGAATCCTTTCTCAGCTCCCTTTTATGTTCTTTTTGTGCTGAATCACTCTAGGGTGGGCCTCCTATTCCGAAGGTCGGGGAACCCCAGCAGATCCAGTCAAACCTTCAACTTCCCAAGTTGATACAATGTATCAACCAACCACTACACTCTGTGAATGTATATGTTTCTCCAATAAAAAGTCCTTTTTTCCTTTAGGGAGAAGTATTGCTTGGTCTTACCTGGGAGTAGGTAATAAACCTTTTTAATCCTGGTTGTTTTCACTGATTTTGACTCACGTATGGGTGCACCCACTGCATTTAATTGCCACGATGGCTATAACAATTTATGTTAAAATGTTCCTTATTCTCTTGATAGGCAAAGTTGGAAAATAGTTTGGGGAAGGCTCTTTGGGATGAAAAAAGTAGATGATTGAGTTACACAGGTTTTCCTGTTGTTAAAGTTAAAAATCTCATTGGATTGTGGGAAAACCTTGGCTTTGTATTTCTGTCTTTGTAAAAGCATTCTTTGGAACCCACGTTGGAGTCTGCCGCCAACTAGAACATAGAACTACTTTGGAGAATTAGGTAAAATATACTGTTAATCTCTAAGAAAGTGATCAAGCCTTTCATACCACTTTTATTAACATCTATTTGCCAAGCCATTTAATCACATTTTCAGCTGTGAAGATGAATCATGTACAAGAATGTATGATGTGTTCAGTATCCCACATTTATAAGAATAGAATCCCTGGCAAGCACAAGGGCCTGAGTTCAATCCCTGGTTCTGAAAAAAAAAAAAAAAAAAGAAAAAAGAAAAAGAAAAGAAAAGAAAAGGAAAGAAAATTTTGTAGCAATCAAGAACTTCAAATGGTTTTTCAGATATTACATGATGAAGGTGAAAAAATCTTGATTAGATTTCAAGTTAGCTTGAAATTTATATGTTATAAGGGGAGTATTGACATAGGGCCGGGAAATTCCCAACCTGGCCTGAATGAGTTCGTGTTCTCTAAAACCGAAGAATGAATTTTAGGAACAAATGGAGGCTGAAGGTAAAACTTTATTGGAAAGGAAAGCTTCTGTCGGAGAGGGACAGAAGGGGGTCCTGAGCGGATTGCCCAGGAAGCTGTCTCCTTCAGGTTATTTTATAGGACAAAACCATGCGGGGCTAAGGTAGAGACAAAGGGGTCCCACTTAGGCAGATACAGGGTGGGACAAAACTATGGTCAACCAATGGGATTACAAACACCATTGCTCAGGTAAAATTTATTAGGCCTAGGACCAAATGGGGTAGCCAGTCACGTAGCAAGCGGTTGACCTTATCTGGTGGCCTTCAGTCGATGATTCTTCCCGTCTAATGAGCAATCCTGGATGCCAACTTTAGGGAGGTCAGCATTTGTTTGATCTTTAGGTCTGGCTCACACCAGGAGCATCTCCCCAGTAAGGTGTCTGGTCTTTGTCATCCCCTTCGAGGGCCTGTCCCTGTCTAACTACCTACAATATTTCTATCTAACTCAGGCTGCCTGCAACAGTATGAGGTATACATCTTTACCAGAAGGGGCTTACATTTTTCAATTTTTATTTTATTTTATTTTTATGTATTTGGTACAGGGTCTCACTACGCAGCTCCAATTCATAGTACTCCTCCTGTTTTCAGCCTCCTCTGTGCTGGGATTACAGGGCTACACCACTAAGCCATGTCTCAGCAGGCTCAGAGCGTTGGGGGGGGAGCGGGCAGGGCCTGTACTGTGGTGCTGGGGATCAAACTTGGTCCTTGTGCTTGCCTTAAGCAGGCACTGGGGCTTACATTCTTTTTTGTGTGTATGGAACTGGGGATTGAACTTGGGAAAATTTGCTTTGTTGCTTTTTGGTACCAGGGAATTGAACTCAGGACCTTGCACTTGCTAGGCAGGTGCTTAAGCTGCTGAGCTATCACTCTGGCCCCTAAATAATCTTTCTTTCTCTCTTTCTTTCTTTTTTTTTTTTTTTGTGATACCAGGGATTGAACTCAGGATCCTGTGCTTGCCAGGTAGGCGCTTATTCTACTGAGCTATCTCCCTGGCCTGGGCTTATATTCTTTACAGAGATGGGTTTTAGTATTCTTCAGAGTTACTGCATATTAGGAGATGTTGATTATGTATATCTAGGGCAGAGCAAGGGCAACAGCAATGTGATCCACACACTTCAGATCGCTTTCTGGTTTCCTGAAAAAGGAGCCAGACAAGTCTTGCCTGACCTCAGCTGTTTCTGGAATCACCCTCAGGTCAGCTCAAACATTCCTGGCATAGCTTCCATTCTCTGTGCCCAGACTGAAGGTGGAGTTGCCAGGTTACTGTTGATGAAGGGTAATTTTTAGAAGCATTAAGTCAGAGTCCTCCGCTCCAGATGACTCATCTTGCACTCTGGAACAGGTTATGAATGTTAAACAGTAACCATTGCTTGGGTTTAAGCGGTTGGCTTTGGGTCGTCCCTAACTTGAGTGTCTTTGATACAGTACTTTTTTTTTTTTTTTTTTAAACACACTGTTCTAGGATCAAAAAGATGGACTGTATTCCCCTTCCAGCTGATTCATAAGAATACAGCACAGGTATTTGGTATTAAGTTGTAAAAAGCAAAATATATACTACGTTAAGGAAAATTAGAGCTGAACTTTGCAGCTTAAAATATCTAACTGGAGTTGTGAGTTTTGGAGTGAAAAATGGGACCCAGAAATGTGTAGGGAACCTCTTATTCACGATTTTCCTTTTTGTTTGGGGAACTTTGATACAATCCAAAACTTTTTCTCATTTGTAAGGGGAATAAGATCTAACTCAAGTTGTTGAATAGAATGAAAGTGAAGCGTCTAGCTCAAGTTGTTGAACAGATGAAAGTGAAGCGTCCATGCACGTCATTGTACATCATTAAATATGATCGTAGTAGGCAGCCAGGAAATACGAGCTGCCCTCTTTTATTTGACATACTTTTTTTTTTTTTATTTTAAAAACCCTTCTGTTAGTTTAAAAGCATTAAAGTATTACAGGTTGTGTCTTTTGGAACCTTTTCACTTCTAGTTCCCAGCTTTGATTTCCCTCCTCAAGTCAGCTGATTCATGTTGTGTATCTTGCCAGATATACTTTGTGTACCCAAGCGAAAAAACGTGTATTTATATGTTCCTCACTTAAAAAATCAAAAACTGAAAATTCGGCTGTTTTGCCTTAAAAAAAAAAAAAAACCCTGAAAATATATATCTTGTAAGTTTGTTCGTTTCAGTACACTACTTTCGCTTTTAAGCAGTTGTGGCTAAATTAACTTAGGTATGGCTGCGCGTTCAGCTCAGTTATCACTGACTATTATGCATGCATGTCTTAATGACCAATTCTAGCCCTCCACAACTAGACATTCGTTCATTCATTCGACAGATGTTTACTGAACGCCTGCTGTGAGTCACGCAGGGCGGGGAGCACCGCGGAGAGCGGACGGACACCGCCTCTAACAGCGGCCCGCAGGGCCAGGATCTGCTGGGCGGTGCTTCCGACCCTCTGGCCGGGGACCTCGGTCCTTAACTGAGCGGAGCCCGGACGTCAGCGGCTAAGGGCGGCTCCGCGGAAGCTGGCGCGGCTAAGTTACGGCGATTCTCAGCTGGGCACAGGACCCCAATTAAGAAACCAGAGCGCTAGCAGCCCTGTGTGGCAGCGCACCCATCCTAGCACTCTGGGAGGTAGAGGTAGGGGACTCGCAGATTCCAGGCCAGCCTGGGCACTTTACTCACTTAGCGCGATCCCGTTTCAAAATAAAAAATAAAAGAGTTCAGTGTGAAGGCCTTGTGTTCAACCTCCCAGTACCAAAAAAAAAAAAAAAGGAACAACTGGGAGCTTGTGAAGAAGATCGGACGGGGCAAGAGCCCAGAGGCGGGAGCAGAGGGCGGGGCGGGCGACTCGGCCCTTTAAACTGGCGGTGGCGGGAACCGCGGGCTGGCGGGGCCGAATGGGGCGCGCGCCACCACTGACCAACCACTGTCCTCGGTCCCGCCCCCTCCCAGCCCTTTCCAATCAGCAGTTCTTTTGTAGCGGATCGCTGGAACCCGCCCCCTGAGGGTGGGTCCCAGGGAACGCAGACACTCGCGCGCTCTTCGGAAGTTTCGAACGCGGTTGGCCTCGGAGGTAGAAAAAAAATACTAGCGTGGAGGCCAATAAGGTGGCAGTAAAGAACCGCGCGCCCACCCAGCCCGCCCCGTTCTGCTTAGAGCGTAGCCTAGGCCCGGTCATTGGCTTGTGCGACCTGTCAATCGCAGCAGCGGCCAACAAGAAGGGACTTCGCGGAGTCTGGCCCCGCCCAGGCGCGAAATGTAACGCGGGAAAAGCGGAGCAGGCACCGGGGCAGCAGGTTGTTATTTTCTGGGCTCGCCGCCGCAGCCAGCGTCCGGGTGTAAAGAGAGCGGAGGGTGAGGGCGGGCCGGCAGGGGCAAGGGTGCCCGCCATGAGCGGGCAGGACTGAGCCGACTCTCGGAGCAGGGTGGGCGGGTGCGGGGCCGGGGGCCGCAGACGGCCGGCGATGATCCGGGGAGCGGGTGCGCCCATGGCGGATGCCCCGCCGCTACCCGGGGTCTTCCGCCACGACTCCCCGAAGCGGGTGCTGGTATCGGTCATCAGGACTACCCCGGCCACGCCTCCATGCGGGGGTGGCGCGGGGGAGCTAGAGCCGCCGCCGCCGCTCGCGCCCACCAGCCCCGGCTTCAGCGACTTCATGGTGTACCCGTGGCGCTGGGGTGAGAATGCGCACAACGTGACGCTAAGTCCCGGGGCCGTGGGTGCCGCCTCTGCTGTCCAGCCTGCAGCCGTCATCGCAGCCGCGCACCAGGGACTCCGGGGCGCGCCTCCGCCCGCCGCCGCGGGGGGCGAGGATGAGGAGGAGGCGAGCAGCCCAGACGGTGGCCCCCTCAAGGTGAGCGCGGACAGTCGGGCGCGGGGGCGTTAACGGCGCGGACCGGACGGAGCGGGGGCGGGCGGTGGCTGACAGGAGTGACGTCACTGCCGCGCGCCAAAACCGGCTGGCGCGGGCAGAGCGTCACGTGACCGGCCGGGCTGGTGCCTTGGACCGGGTGCAGTGGGGCTTATGCAGTCGCTGGGAGGCGGCGGCGAGGGTAACGTGTGGTTCGGGAAGCGAGAGCAGCGCCCTGTTCCAGTAGACGCCTTGCTTGGACAGCTGGAGAGCAGCAAGGACTCTCAGGCGTCTTCCCGAGCGAAAGTCGAGCTCTCACTGGCTCGCTTTCCTCGGTCAAAGTACTTAGTCGGTGCTGAGAGCACACAGAATAATAGGACGGTGTTGTCCCCTAACCTCGAGTTTCTCGCAGTCTCACACCAGGGCCGGAGAGAATGTGACCCCCTGATTCACACCCAGGTTTTACGGGTACAGAAGCTGACGCGCAGAGGGCTCGATGTGCCCTTCCCAAGATGACACAGCTGGCTAGTAGAGAGCTGTGGCTGTTGGGTCAAGGTTTCTTGGCTGCTTGTGCTGCTGCGTGTGTTCAGGATCCCTTCTGTGGAGTTAGGCTTGTCTCCATAGACTGTAAGTGCCGAGATTTTCGATTTTAATACTTAGTAAAGCTTAATCAGAATGCACCAAAAATATTTGTGATAAATGGTGCAAGCATAAGATTAAATTCTACTTGTATTAAGTGGCTATATAAGATAAAAATTTGTTAGAGATAGAACAAGCAAAATTTAACGGATACGTGTTGGCGCTTACTGTAATAATAGAGTTTGGTTATCATTTTACGTACAGTAGCAAGGATTGTTTGGACTTTGAACAAATTGATGCACTTTTTTTAACTAGTGGCAGTTATTAAATACATCGGTTTTGAAGTTATAGTAAGGTTATAAAATCCTATATACATCTTAGGTCTTGAAACTGCACCTTAATAAAAATGTGGAAGAGGAGTAGAGATTTTTATTTCTTATAGTAGCACGGAGTATTAGTGTAGCGGACAGTTGTTGGCTCTAGGTTGTATTGTTCACCTTAAGTATCATGAGGTATCTAGATTTGTTAATATTTTTATGCTTTAGTCTTATATCAGATTATATATATATATACATATATATAATTTTTTTTTTTTTTTTTTTTTTTTTTTTTTTTTTTTTTGCGGAACCAGGGATTGAACTCAGGCCCTTGTGCTTGCCAGGGAAGTGCTTATTCCGTTGAGCCATCTCCCTGGCCCCTCAGATTATAGTGTGAAGCAGTGTGAAAGTATACATCCAGGGCTGGCCAAATAGTTCAGTGGCTTATGTCTGTTTAGGCAGGCACACCGACCATGGACCCTGTGCCCGCCCTACCCCCAGGGTGCCCCAGATGGCAATTGAAACTGAGCCTGGTGGCCTCACCTGTAGCTCTTGGGAGGCTGAACACTGAAGGATCACTATGAGTCCAATCTACGTAGTGAGACCTTGTAGACCATTAATAAAAACATATATATATATATATATACACACACACACATATATATATATCCAGAAATAGTGAAAAGTTTTTAAATTTGATTTTATTCTTAATTATAAATGAACTTGGACTACTAAAAACATTAATAGTACTAGAGAGAAATGAAATTGTCTTATGTTTATTTTTACTTGTGACAGGCTTCACACACAAACTGTCTTTTTTTTTTTTTTTTTTTTTGGCAGAACCAGGGATTGACCTCAGGCCCCTGTGCTTGCCAGGCAAGCGCTTATTCTACTGAGCCATCTCCCCAACCCCACAAACTTTCAATAAAAGTGCTAACACAGTGCATGGATTTGAATTTTATTGTAATCTATATTTTCTACACCTTCTCAGGGATAAAATATACCAGAAGTTTTGAAGAACGTGTAGAAGTGAAAGGATGATTTTATATTTTTCTTTCCTCCTCAGTCTTTCATATTGCATCTTTCATACATTATTCAGTAAATTGATTTTAGTTTGCCCTTTTGTTGATGAAGCAATCTAAATACAGACCAAAAATTCATTTAACTTCCCTATCTTAAGAAAAGTCTGAAACACTGTTGCTTAAGAAAGTTAGCTCGTTTGGTCATAATGCTGGACTAAACATAGGGAGTGTTGGTTCCTTTTACTTAGTTTTGATTCTTTACATACAGTAATTTCTCTTCACATGCTCATATGGGAACCATGCTTGCTTTTTGGGAAGATGTCATACAGGTTTGTAATAGCCAGTGAGCTTAACATGCTCCCTCCACTCTTAATATGGGTGTAGAGCCACCAACAGCTGTGAACTAGACCATCTTTGTTCGCTCATTGTGTATTTGTTGCCATTGCTCCCAGGGGAGGTGTTGACATCTGAGTCTTGCACATCCTGCTTCTGCTTTCTCTTGTTCTTTCCTTTGTTTCTACTCAATACTGCCTCCCTTGCCTGGGAGAACATCCATCATCTGCTAACTTATTTTAGCCCCTCATCAGGAGATGGTTCAGTGCTACTGCTGTATAACTATTAGCCTGGGTTGTAGAACTCTGGGAGAGAAGAGAGCAGGTATGATTCCTCTACCCCCAGTCTGTGCTTCTGTACTTCTCTTCAGACCATTATGGCATGTCTGCTGTGGGACCCAAAGGAGTCTGCCCAGGTTGCCAATCTGTGACTCCTTTCTGTATTCAGATATCTAGACTCCAACAAGTGGGACAGACAGCTAATTAGCACACATGAATTTTGATCACCTCCATGTTAAACCTGATAGCTTGTTAGCATAGTAACCTCTATTTATTGTCTGGCATGAAGGAAGTACTTCATAGTGTTAGCGTAAACTGGCAGACTCTTGAACTTTTTAATTGTTTCACTCACTAAATCCTGTTTACTTGGAAGGAAGGAGAAGTTAGAGAAGAGTCCTCAAGATTAAGGTAATTTTTTTCTTTCTTTTTCTTTTTTTTTTTTCCCGGAACCAGGGATTGAACTCAGGCCCTTGTGCTTGCCGGGGAAGCACTTATTCCACTAAGCCATCTCCCCGGCTCCTAGATTAAGGTAATTTGGTAAACTGGCAGAACTGATGAGCACCTTCCAGAGCCCCTGGGATTAAGGATTCCCTATACCATACTGCTTGTGGATATATCATATAAACTAACTTTTAGAGTTTTTAAATATTAAGCTGATGTAAGTAGACTTAGGAAACATACACCTTAAAGCCTGTCTATATCTCATTTGAGAAGCCTTTATTAAGAATATATACAATGTAATAGAATGGATTTAAGATTTGGGAAGTTGGGAGGCTAGTTCAGCATGTGAGAGGTAGAATAAGAAGCAGATTATGAGGGTCATAGAAAGTTTGGATCCAAATCTGAATTCACAAAGGAAAATAGGATCAGTTACATTTTCTCATCAAGGTACACACACATACCTCCAAGATCAGATCTCTTCTTGTTTCCCTTCTAGCTTGTGTTCATACCATATTATTTGAGTTTGCCTTATAAAACCATGGTGAGGACGTTCAAGTTTTTAGTCATCACATGACTAAACACTTTCAAAACTAAAGGATACATAGGGGAGTTTTGACAATGTGGTTTCATAGAATTTCATGCTAGCATTTGTGACTCATCAATAGTCCTAACCCAATTTGTCCCTTAGGCTACAGGTATACTTGGTTGCTGAGGAGGTCACACTGTAATTGTCAGTATGTGCCTAGAAACATGGTTTTCTTATTGTAAATGGTAATCCCACTCTTCTTTGAGTAATACTGTGTGTATTGATATGCATTGCTAATGGATACTGTATTCATTTACTTAGGATAGGATTTCCCTTATCTTATTTTCTCAGCTAAAATAATGCACTTGATGTATCTTTATCTTTATTTGACTCGCATTACATTTTTTTTAGCACTTTTATCTGGAAAATGTAATTTTTTTAGAGTTGCTGGGATTTAGGTACATGTTTTTCTTTGTTTTCCTAGTTAGATGTGCTTCTTTTACTAGAAGCAAAAACAATAGCTATGGCTAATACTACATTTTTGATATTAACTCATAAATCAGTTATTTCAAACTGCAGTACAGGCAACCGTGTTATCTGTTTTTAAATATGAAAAGGATCCTTTCATGGCATAGAACTTGCACCACTCAGGTTTTTAATTAACCATATTTTATGTTCCATTGCTTCCCTAAGGGAACCACATTTTTACCCTTTTTTTTAATTAATTTATTTTTTTGTGGAACCGGGGATTGAACTCAGGCCCTTGCGCTTGCCAGGGAAGTGCTTATTCTACTGAGCCATCTCCCCGGCCCCCTAGGGAACCACATTTTTATTGATCACAGAAGCTGTATTCTTATATTCTTAGATTTACTTATTTTACAGTATAAGGAATTAAACTCATGGCCTTGAGCATGCTAAGCAATTACTCTACTGTTGAGCTACACCTCCTTTCCTACTGTGAATTTTTAAAATTAAAGAATTGATGTCATTAGATCCTGCATATTTCTACTCTGCTGACTCTCAATTTTTCTAATAGAGCGAAATGTGGCTAATGAGACTCATAGCGAAGGGGTTAAAAAAAAAAAAGAAGAATTTGATAGCCACCAATGATTGCCACAAGTTGGTGTGGTAATGTGCATGAAAACAGTCAAGTCATTGGCCTTGCCAATTTCTAGCTTCTTTGTAAGTGGAAAGAAACTTCTTGAGGAATTCAGGTTGGGAAGACTTTTTTTTTTTTTTAAATGTATTTAGTACAGGGTCTCACTACACAGATTAGACTCATAGTGATCCTCCTGTTTTTAGCCTCCTAAGTGCTGGGATTATGGATACAGGGAAAAGACTTCTGTAATGTACTTTTTTTACAGTTTTCAGATCAACAAGGAACTGACTCAATAATAACATACTTGAATTTGTTATTTTAAGCCCAAGCTGGTGAGACTATAGATGTGCTCTGTCTTCTGTGTTCTGGGACCCAAAAGTAGCATCTTCTTTCTGGGACAGTGGTTCTCATGGCAGAGAGGAAAGAAGGATGATAGAGCTCATTAATGGTTTTTACAGATTTTGCTTGTTATGTTATTTTCACTCACACTTTACTAGCTAAAGCAGGTCATATGGCTGCATTGGTCTCTAGACCCACTGTGAGAGGGGTGAATACTTTTATAATATTGTAATATATCACAGTGCCGGGCTGGTGAGATGGCTCAGTGGTCTAAAGCACCTACTTAGAACAAGCTTAGCAAAGCACAGGGACCGCTGTTCAATCCCCCAGCACCACATGCCAGCCAGCCCCGCCCCCTGGTAGGCTGAGCTGGCCACACACACACACACAATAAATAAATAAATTTTAAAAATATATCACTGTGTCTTTTTACATTTTTTTTCTTTAAATTGGTATAAAAGTATACTGTGGTGTCAACAGATTTTTCAGAGCTCATTCATCTTACAAAACTAAAACTCTGTACCCATCTAACTTATCTTGTTTCCTTCCCAGCCCCTGGGAACCATCATTCTACTTTTTGGGTCTAAGAGTTTGACTATGTTAGATACCTCAAGTAAGTGCAAACATGCAATATTTGACTTTCTGTGGTCAGTTTATTTCACTTAATATAATGTCCTTCAGTTTGTACATGTTGTAACATACCACACAACACTTAAAGCTGTGTGTGTGCATACCATGGACATTCAGGTGGCCTCTGTCTCTTGGCTGTTGTAAATAAAATGTAATGCTCATGGATATGCAGATATCTTGGAGGTTTTATTTTAGTTCTTTGGGCTGTATAATCTTTTCACATTCTTAAAATTTTTGAAAATCTTATTTGGTACAGCGTCTCACTATACAGCTCGTACTCGTAGTGACTTTCCTGTCTCAGCCTCTCCAGTCCTGGGATTACAGGCGTGTTCCACCATGCCCAGTTTCAGGGCAGACACAGCATGTGATACTAGGGATCAAAATTGGGATCTTGCGCTTGCCAGGCAGGTGCTTGGATCACTGAGCTATCTCTCTAGCCCTCTTTCCACATTCTTAATCATTAAAAAAAACTAACATAAATTTATATTATCAATATAAAACATACTCCAACCTAAAGACTAAATGAAAATAAAGACTTCATTAACGTTTGGAAATTTCTGTTGACTAATACAATAAAAATAGATAAATTGGATTTCTGTAAGGTTGAAATCAAGTCATTAACTTGCATTGGAAATAGATTTTTTTTTTTTAACATTTATTTATTGTGTGTGTGTGCGCGCGCGCAGCCAGCTCAGCCCACCAGGGGGCGGGGCTGGCTGGCATGTGGTCCTGGGGATAGAACCTCAGTCCCTGTGCTTTGCCAAGCTTGTTCCAAGTAGGTGGTTTAGACCACTGAGCCATCTCTCCAGCCCCGGAAATAGATTTTTTTTTAAAGCTCTATAGATTAAAAAAAAAAATCCTAGACTTTAGAGATGAGTTTTTTAAAGTAAAATTTTAGTTAAGATTGTTTTGCTGTATCTTATTATCCTTCGAGGCTTTAGGCTAGTGTTTAAGCTTTTGGAAGGCTTCAGGTTTTTGTGATTTTTAAATATAATTTGTATATGTAAAAATTAACTGAAAAATAAAGAGATTTGTTTTCCAGCTATTTATATCAGTTTTAAATATATAGAAGATAGCACAGAGAGTTCCTGGGAACTTCATACTCAATTTCCTGGTATAACATGCTGGTGTGATACATTTGTTGAAATTAATGAGCCAATATTGTATGTTATTATTAACTAAAGTGGATAGTATATTTAGCTTTTCTTAGTTGTATTTATCTTAGGGAGATTAACAGTGTTTTAATTGTCACAGTTTTCCATGTGAAGGTCCATCTTTTTCATAACAAAGTCATTAGTTTAATAAGACTGTGTATTCTGTGTTATATTACATTAGATAGCTAGGATTTATTCCTTTTTTTTTTTTTTTTTTGGTGGGACCGGGGATTGAACTCAGGCCCTTGCACTTGCCAGGGAAGCACTTATTCTACTGAGCCATCTCCCCAGCCCTAGATAGCTAAGATTTAAAGCTAACTTTAGACTCTCTAAAGTTCCTGTCATCCCACCTATCAGGAGGCTGAGGCAGGGGGATCATTGAGAGTGCTGCACAATTACTGAGTGAAACTTACCTTTAAAAAGCCCCCCCCCCAACCCCTTTGACTCGCAATGTAGAATTTATGTTAGATGAGGATTTATTATTAAAGTCTTAATTTTGTGATGATAATTATTATTGTTATTTTTGTCTTTTTGAGATAGGGTCTTGCTATGCAGTTCAGGCTGGACTTGAGCTCACTTTGTAGCCCAGGCTGGTCTCTAACTCAAAATAATCCTCCAGCCTCAACCTCCTGTATGCTGGATCAACAGGCGTGTACCACCACACCTGGCTTTTGGTATCTTCTTATTTATTTATTTGTGTGTGTGGCCAGCTCAGCCCACCAGGGGGCGGGGCTGGCTGGCATGTGGTGCAGGGGGATTGAACCGCGGTCCCTTTGTTTTTGCTAAGCTTGTTCCAAGTAGGTGCTTTAGACCACTGAGCCATCTCACCAGCTCCTTTTGGTATCTTCTTGACATTGATGAAACTATTTCTGTAATTAAGAT